CCACAAACAGGAAACACAGGGAAAGTGAACTAAACACACAATTAGTACAGTGGCATAAGTACTAATTGTTCAATTAGTACAAGCGCAGAAGTTACGATCTGTCCATGACAGGAACTATTGCAATACAAAGGGAAACAGGTTTTCTGGTTCTGGTCTTGGGGCCTGAACTCTGGGCCTGGGCGCTGTCCCTCAGCTCTTCAGCTCAAGGCTAGCGCTCTACCACTTGAGCCACAGCACCACTCCTGGCTTTTTTTTTGCTTATGTGGTCTGAGGAATCGAACCCAGGGCCTTATGCATGCAAGGCAAGCGCTCTACCACTGAGCCACCTTCCCAGCCCTGGGAAACAGGTTTTCTTATTTATTTTTCTAAGGTCTTCCTATCTTGTAATCTTCCCTTTGTTCAATTCCCAAATATTTCTCATTGGTTATTAATGTTGTGGGGGTTTCTCCTCCCTGTATTTTGCTTGTCTTTTCCCCCTTTTTTCCCTTTCTACCTCTTTTTCTTTTACCTTTCCTTAAAAAAAAAATCGTGGGCCTACCACTTTGCTTGGCTTCCTAGCTGGTGCTCTACCACCTGAGCCAGGCTCCCAGCCTAGTTTTTTGCTGGTTAACCGGAAATAAGCGTCGCTCAGACTTTTTTAGCCTCCGCTATTTTTAGATATCGAGTCTTATCATTTCCTCCTTTTGCAAGAAATGTTGGGAAACTTGTTCCTGGGTCTTTTACTTCCTTTTCAACAAGGAAATCAAGTTTTATGTAGGCGTTGAAAGACCCCAATCTCAATGTACTTGTATCTAAATCCAGCCAAGAAACTATGAGACTATAAATGATATTACAGGTATTGATAAGAGCAGCCTGGAATTGAATAGCACCAATCCATAGATCGATCATCTTCACAATTTATGAGGAATCAAACAAACATCATTCGCAGCATTACCTTCCTAATTTAAGTCATCAATCTAATCCCAGCTGGCCAGAAGGCTGAGATCTGAGGATCCTGGTTCAAACCCAGCCTGGGCAAGAAAGTCCCTAAGACTCTTATTGCCAATGAACCATCAGAAAACCAGAAGTGGCGCTGTGGCTCAAGTGGTAGAAAACTAGTCTTGAGCAAAAGAGCTCAGAAACTGCACCCAGGCCCTGAGTTCAAATCCCACAACCAACAACCAACAAAAAGCTCAAGGAGAAGCACCAGGCCCCAGTACTGAACTCTTCCCTATTCTTTCACTATTCTTTTCTTGAATTTAACATTCAAATTTAAATCAATATATTATGAAATCATACAATCATTGTCATTGTTTTCTTTATTTTGTAGGCTATTAACAAGTTCAGACTTCAAAGCTGGCAAAAATAAGCTGGAAAGTAGAGCTGTGGTTCAAATGGTAGAGCACCAGCTTTGAGCAAAAAAAGCCAAGGGACAGCACCAGGCTCTGAGTTCAAGACCCAAGACAGAGGCTTCTTTGAAATTCTGTTACACTTTGAATCAATCTATCATGAAATTATACAATCATGTGGAATGTTTTCTTTATTTTGTATGCCAGTAGCAAATCTCTGACCTAGTAAAAAACCTTCCATTGATGATTCTTTTGTTAAAATGTTGTCTTGGCCAGGTGCTGTGGCTCCCGCCTGTCATCCCAGCTACTCAGGAGGCTGAGATCGGAGGATCAGAGTTCAAAACCAGCCCGTGCAGGAAAGTCTGTAAGACTCTTATCTCCAATGAAACAGTAAAAATCCAGAAGTGGAGCTGTGGTTCAAGTGATAGAGGACCAATCTTGAGTGAAAAAGTCCAGGAATAGCACCCAGGCCCTGAGTTCCAGCCCGAATACTTGCACACACACATACACCAAGAAAGAAAGAAAGATACTATGTGGGAAATGAACCCTAGAACTTGTAGCTGGGGATGGGAGGGAAAAACTGGGGGGGAAAGAGAGGGAAGGTAGGGACATAATCCAAAAAGAAATGTACACTTGGACTGAGAGAAGGTGGCTTAGTGGTAGAGCGCTCACCTAGCATGCATGAAGCCCTGGGTTCGATTCCTCAGTACCACAGACACAGAAAAAAGCCAGAAGTGGCGCTGTGGTTCAAGGGGTAGAGCACCAGCCTTGGGCCAAAGAAGCCCAGGGACAGCGCCCAGGCCTTGAGTTCAAGTCCCAGGCCTGGCAAGAAAAAAGAAATGTGAGTACATTTAACTAGCTTACGAAAAGTGTCTCCCAACTTGTGTCTTTGTTCCTCTGCTTTTTTGGAACTATAGTATGTCTCTTCTACAAGCAAATATGTTCAACTTCCTAGGAATATTAATATTTAACTAGTTCTCAAAATTCCCCCCCCCCAATCATAGTCCAGCCGCGTCCCTCCTGCTGCCCAGCTGTTTTCCTGGGCTATTCACGCCATCAAAATAGCACAACCCCTCCACAGCCAGCTGGAACGTATCTATTCTCATTTCCTGGAACTGTAGCTCCCAAGTACAAGCCTGCAGCCTTTGGACAATCTTCAGCCTTTCCCTCTGCTCCCACTCAGCGCTTCCCAGCTTCCAGGTTTGCTTCTTCCCCCTCAGGCCCATTTTCTACATTCCATCACTTCATGAAAAAAAAACAAAAACAAAAACCCCACAAATCTGAAGCTCGACCCTGCACCAAAACAGCTTCATCTTGCCAAATGCCTCTCTGCTTGGAAGCCAGATTTCATCATCATACTCATAAGCGATTCACTTGTGTTTTGTTCTGTGGTCGGTGGTGGGACTTGAACTCTGGGCCTGGGCACTGTCCCTGTGCTCTTCAGCTCAAGGCTGGTGCTCTATCACTTGAGCCACAGCGCCACTTCCTGTCTTCTGGTGGTTCCTTGGAGATCAGAGCCTCCTGGACTTTCCTGCCCAGGCTGGCTTCGAACCCTGATCCTCAGCTCTCAGCCTCCTGAGTAGCTGGGATGACAGGCGTGAGCTACCCAGCACCCAACCCAATTCGGTCAGTTCCCTCATATCAAATAGTTCACACCAAGGTTCCTCCAGGAAGAGTCTTCCCTGAGCTTTACTTTGCACACTTCATTCCCTAATTTGCCATCTTCCCACCAAGCCTTCATCTTCGGGCTGTCACTTGTATTTTAGAGAATTTATTTGCCTGAATTCTCCCATAGTTCCTCACAGGGACAAGTCTGGATTGTGTCCCCTTCATCTGCCCTTGGGACATCCTGAGCTTCTCTAGTACAAATGTTTGTCTAGCCAGGTGCTGGTGCGCACGCCTGTCATCCCAGCTACTCAGCAGGCTGAGATCTGAGGATCACAGCTCAAAGCCAGCCTGGACAGGAAAGTCCAGGAGACTCTGATCGCCAATGAACCAGCAGGAAATGAGAGATGGAGCTGTGGCTCAAGTGCTAGAGCACCAACCTGGAGCACCAAAGTTCAGGGACAGCGCCCAGGCCCCGAGTTCAAGCCCCAGGACTGGCACCAAAGAAGAAGAAGAAGGGGGAAAAATTCATCTAGATCTTCAGCTTAGATTGTTTTTTCTGGTTTGTTTTGTTTCCTTTGTGCAAGTACTAGGGCTCGAACTCAAGGCCTCGTGTTCTTGCTTGTTCTGTTTTGTTTGGTTTTGTTTTTCTCAAGGTTGATGCTCTACTATTTGAGCCACGCCTTCAAATCTGGCTTTTTGCTAGTTCACCGGAGATGAGAGTTTCACAGCCTTTCCTGCCCGGACTGGCTTCAAACTGCAATCCTTAGATCTCAGCCACCAGAGTAGCTGGGATTACAGGCGTGAGCCACCAGTGCCTAGCATTTGCTCTGTTTTTCATCCACATAAAAAGTAAGAACTTCCCGTGTGTATCTGTCTTTGCTTGTTTGGACATTCTTTCTAAGAGCTTGTATGGTGTCCAGCTCTATTCAGATCCACACATAGTTACACAATAACCAAATGATTGCTGGGAATTTACTGATGGGCAGTTGAATTATTAAGCTGTTTTAGGAGTTAAAGACAGGACAGGAAAATCATGATTAAAAAGCAGGAAGGAAACGTGTTTCTATACGACAGAGAACAATTATAGAAAGGGTAACAGTGTTCAAGATGTACAGTAGCTCACGCCTGTAATCCCAGCTACTCAGGAGGCTGAGATCTGAGGATCTTGGTTCCAAGCCAGGTTGGGTAAGAAAGTCCGTGAGACTCTTACCTCCCATTAAGCAGCAAAAAGCCGGAAGTAGAGCTGTGTCTCAAGTGGTAGAGCCCCAGCCTTGAATGAAAAAGTTAAGGGACAACACCCAGGTACTGAGTTCAAGTCCCAGGCCTGGTACAAACAACAGCAGCAAAAAAAGATGCATTGGACTTACAAACTGAAACCCCTTTGAACAGCTACTTAAAGACAATAACAAACAAATAAATGAACATTAAAAAAAAAAACAAAAAACATTCATTACAAAAGAAAAAGCTAGGCCCTGGTGGTTCACGCCTGGAATCCGCACAGCAGGAGGCTGAGATCTGAGGATCGCGGCTCAAAGCCAGCCCAGGCAGACAAGTCTTGTGAGACTCTTATTTCCAAGGCCCCAGCATAAAAAGCCAGCTGTGGCAGGTGCAGCCAGATGTGAAGGGCCCCAAAAGAAATGTACGCCTTACCTGATTTAGGTAACAACCACATTTCAAAGGGCACAAAAAGGTTTTTTTGGATCTGCTGGAGGCTGGGCTTCAGGGATGAAAATTCTCTTTATTTTGAGTCTTTTGGGGGGTCCATTTGGGGATCCCCCCCCCAAAGAACAAACCTGCCTATTTTTCTTTTTAAGAGGGAAACTTAGGTAGGGCTGGCAAAGCTGATTAGCTCCTTTAGTGGACAAAAGACAAATTCACAACAAAAAAACAAACAAACCGCAAGGAAATCAGCATTACCAAGACGCAAAGTTGGATTCCCCCAAGAATCTGGGTCTCTGGCCAGAAACTAACCTTTGCTTGTCACCCATGACCCCTTGCAGAGACCTTGGCTGGAAGAAATCCTGTGGGTGGAACTTTCTGTTTGTCTACAGGACCGGCATAAAACCCAGCTGCTCCTTCCTGGAGAGCTTTGGGGAGCAGATTATTCTCAGGGAGAGAGACCACAAGGCACGCTGTGCCTTCTGGATCTTTCCACAGCATGGGGAGCTACAAACTTCTTCCCTCCAGTCTGATTTGCTTCCTCCTGTTTCTTGTCCCCACCAAGACCTCCACGCCTGCGCAACCGTGAGTCTCCCCCTTGCAAGATTTCTCCTGGAAGCTGGGATTCTCCACGTTCTTTTTCTTTCCTGTACTGCTTTGCTTTTTGCCTAGGATGTATTTGGAGGTTGGTGTTTTTGTTCTTTTTGTTTTCCCTCTCTTGAAAGACTGGCCACCTCTCCCCCCCCTCTCCCCTCAACCTCTGCACTTGCTTTGCAAGCAATTATCATCTGCGTTTCTCCCTGGATCTCTGACTGTCCAAGCTGTAAACAGATTTCTAAAGACAAGCTAGAGGAATCCATGTTCAGATTCTCAGGCTTCTAACGCTCTGTTAAGATCCCGTGCTTTGGGCTGGGCTGGTGGCTCTGTGGTAGAGCGCTCACCTCGCATGCATGAAGCCCTGGGTTCGATTCCTCAGTCCCACAGGCACAGAAAAAAGCTGGACGTGGCGCTGTGGCTCAAGGGGTAGAGCGCTAGCCTTGAGCCAAAGGAGCTCAGGGACAGCGCCCAGGCCCTGAGTTCAAGCCTCAGGACCAGTAAAAGATCATATGTTTAGCCTTTCCTATCTACCTTTCTCAGTTGTCTATGGTTCGTTCTCTCTCCCTCTCTCATTGTATATTCACCATAGAACTGATATAAAAAAAAAAAATGAGAGCTCAATTTTAAATGCTGATGTCAAAACTAACAAAGCTAAAGCAGTCTAAGAATAGAAGAGAAAAGTCTTTTGCAGATCAAATGGTGATTAATACAATTGTAGCAAAAAAAAAAAAAAATCAGGGCTCGATCAGCAAATAGATCATTAGAAGCAAGGCTTGATAACACAATACTGGGTGATTTAGGGCCGGGAACACAAACAGAGATCAGGGCTGGGATGTAGCTCAGTGGCAACGCGCTTGCCTAGCAAGTGCAACGTCCTGGGTTCGATCCCCAGTACCAAAAAAAAAAGAAAAGACAAACAGAAATCAAAGAAGTGGTGGAAACGACACCACTTTTATTTGACATTTATTTGGCACAAGCATTTGTTTATTTTTGTGCCAGTCCTGGGGCTTGAACTCAGGACCTAGGCACTGTGGCTGGGTTTTTGCATTCCAGGTTAGAGCTCCACCACTTGAGCCACGGCTCCATTTGCAGCTTTTTGCTGGTTCGTTGGAGATGAGAGTCTCACAGACTTTCCTGCTCCAGGCTGGCTTTGAACTGCGATCCTCAGATCTCAGCCTCCTGAGTAGCTGGGATTCTAGACACAACTTACCAGCACCTGACACATGTACTGACTCATACATTTTATTAGGATTATAAATGTGAGGTACAGAGGGGTGACAGCGACATTTCCTTTTGGTCCTTGTCCCTTCTTCCCTTCGCTCTCTCCCAGATTTTCCTTCCCGTCCCCATTCACAAGTTTGTAGAGTTCATTTCCATGTTGTACCCAGCACCCTCTGCCCCCCCCCCCCGCCATTTCTGCCTCTCCCCTTGACCCCCGCCCAAAGACCGATCAATGAATAAGCAAGACAAAATGAAAAGAAAAACATCCACAAAGAAAAATCCTCTTGTTTCCATTTCCAGTAATCTATTTTTCTAGGCATACTTCAGCTTAATCCTTAAAGCTACATTACACAAAGCAGTAGCAGAACCAATGTCAGACATTGCTTCATTCATTCTAGTTAATAGATTCGCAAGTTCACTAAGGGGTGGGGGGGGGGGGGAAAGGACAGAAAATCAGATCACCGTTCTTGCCAAAGACATGTTTCAAAAGTATTTTGGCTGCCTTGCACAACTGTCTCACACCTGAAATCCTGGATCCTTGGGAGGCTGAGAGTTGGAGGATCAACCTTGGAGTCCAGTCTGGGCAGAAAAATTTGCAAGGTAGACCCTACCTTAACAATCGAAAGACAAGCCAGGTGTGGTGGCTCACGCCTGTAATCCAGGCTACTCAGGAGGCTGGGATCTGAGGATCTGGGTTCAAAGCCAACAGGGGCAGGAAAGCCTGTGAGAATCTTTTTCTGGGGGAGGGAGGGGGAGTTTGGTCTTGAGGGATGAACTCTGGGCCTGGGCGCTGTCCCTCAGCTCTTCAGCTCAAGGCTAGTGCTCTACCATTTGAGCCATAGCACCACTTCCGGCTTTTTTTCTTTTTGCTTATGTGGTGCTGAGGAATGGAACCCAGGGCCTCAAGCATGCAAGGCAAGTGCTCTACCACTGAGCCACCTTTCCAGCCCCGGCTTGTGAGAATTTTATCTCCAATGAACCAGCAAAATGCTGGAAGTGGAGCTGTGGCTCAGTGGTAGAGCACTAGCCCTGAACAAAGAAGTTCAGGGACAGCACCAGTCCCTGAGTTCAAGCCCCGGGACCAGTACCCCCTGCCAAAAAAAAAATGCATTATACTCAAAAACTGACATGCAGAATTGAAACCTCTTTGTACAACCACTTCAGGATAATAACTAAATACATGTTTTTAAAGAAAATGTTTAATATTTATGAGTTCATGCTCACATTATACGTAAAAGGGGGCTTAATGTTAAATTTATATACCCACATGTAATATTATGTGGATGTATTTGTGTACATATATTAATAAAAAGTTAAGACTTCCATAAAATATTTTAAAACACACAAAAAAATCTTAGTATAAACTTCCCTGGGGTAACTAGCCTGAAAATTCAAGTTCAAAGAAAAGGGGAAAAATGACCATTACAAAAAAGTTTTTTCTGGTTTTTGTTTTTGGTGTTCTTTGTTTTATTTTGTTTTTCTTTTCTGCCAGTCCTGGGATTTGAACTCAGGACCTGGGCACTTTCCCTGTGCTTCTTTTGCTCAAGGCTGGCGCTCTACCACTTGAGCCACATTCCCAGCCCCTGAGATATTTTTAACATTTTTTTGTCCCTGTCCTCGGTTTGAACTCAGGACCTGGGTGCTGTCCCTGAGCTCTTTTGCTCAAGCCTAGCACTCTACCACTTTGAGCCACAGCCCCACTTCCAGTTTCCTGTTAATTGGAGATCAGAGTCTCACGGACTTTCTTGCCTGGGCTGGCTTTGAACCATGATCCTCAGATCTCAGCCTCCTGAGTATCTGGAATTACAGGCATGAGCCACAAAGCAGGTAACTTTTCAATGGACACTACTGAATCTTACCTCTATCATAGTTAAGATCAATGAAAATATAGAAAACATATCCTTTTTTGTTATTTAGAATCATAATAAGAAAACAGAAGTTTGCTAGAAAAATATAGAAGAGGTGTACAGTGGCTTTATGCTAGCAAGTTGAATAAGCAAAAGTCTTTACAAACGCCTGGTATGTGCAGATATTGGGAACTTCTCTGTGCTATTTACACAGAATCTGCTCCCTGAGATCCAAATTCAATCCCCAGCGCTCCGTGGGGAAATGGGGTTTTTCTCTACCTGTGAGCCGACATGTAAATATTTAAAATGGAAACATCCACTGCTACAGGGAACTGGCAAATACATCACACTGCGACTTGAATTGCTCATTTCTTCCCTTCTGGCCTCCAATTCCATATTAATAACGTGAAAGCCGAGACCAGGATGGAAGGGGGTGGTGACTCTATTATTATGCATGTTGAATTAAAACCCTTTCGGGCAACCACTTACATAGAACAAAAATACATTTAAAAAAAAATGAAAATGTATTTAAGGGGTTGGGAAGGTGGCTCCGTGGTAGAGTGCTTGCCTTGCATGCATGAGGCCCTGGGTTCGATTCCTTAGCACCATATAAGGAGAAAAAGTCGGAAGTGGCGTTGTGGCTCAAGTGGTAGAGCGCCAACCTTGAGCTGAAGAGCTGAGGGACAGCGCCCAGGCCCAGAGTTCAAGCCCCATGACTGATAAAAGCTGGGCACAGGTAGCTCATGCCTGAAATTCCAACTACTCAGGAAGCTGAGATCTAAGGATCACAGTTCGAAATCAGCCCCAAGTAGGAAAACCTGTGAGCTTCTTGAGATCACCAATGAACTAGCAAAAAGCAGGAAGTGGAGCTGTGGCTTAAGTGGTAAAGCATCAACCTGGAGTAGAAAAAGCTAAGGGACAGCCCCCTGGCCCTGAGTGCAAGTCCTAGTACTGGCACACACACACACAGACACACACACACACACACACACACACACACACACACACGTAATAAAAGTCCTATCATTTGGGCTGGGCAGGTGGCTCAGGGATTCCATGCTCACCTAGCATGCATGACGTCCTGGGTTCGAGTCCTCAGTACCACAGACACAGAAAAAGCCAGAAGTGGTGCTGTGGCTCAAGGGGTAGAGCACCAGCCTTGAGCCAAAGAAGCTCAGAGACAGAGCCCAGGCCCTGAGTTCAAGTCCCAGGACTGGCAACAACCACCAAGTCCTATAAGGTGAATGCTTTTCCTGCTGGGCACCATGGTGTGCACGCGCATCCTAAGGCCCAAACAGACTAGCAGAGGGCGGGGCCTCCTTCGTGTAGAGAGGACCACGGTTGCCATGGAAACCTGCTCACCGCCTTCCTCCCTGTCTCCGGGGATGCTCGCCCGCCAGGCAGTACATGGTGCTGGTGCCCTCGCTGCTGCACGTGGGCACGGAGGAGAGGGGCTGCGTGCTGGTGAGAAACCTCAACGAGACGGTGACCGTGAGAGCCGCCCTGGAGTCCATCAGGGAGAACAGGAGCCTCTTCCGAGACCTGGAGGTGGAGAAGGATTTGTTCAACTGTGTCCAGTTCACCGTGAGTGCAGACAATGCGCAGCGTCCTGGGGGCCTCGGATCGTCAGGCAAAGGCTTTGAGGACCTGGTTGAGAACTTCCCAAAGGCATCTATGTAGAGCAACTAAATATGGATTGGGGGGGGGGGGGGGTGGTGTCAGTGGTGGGACTTGAACTCAGGGCCTGGGCGCTGTCCCTGAGCTTTAGTGTTCAAGGCTGGCGCTCTACCCCTTGAGCCACAGCGCCACTTCTGGTTTTCTGGTGGTTCATTGGAGAGAAGAGTCTCGTGAACTCTTCTGCCCAGGCTGGCCTCCAACCATGATCCTCAGATCTCTCAGCCTCCTGAGGAGCTGGGGTGACAGGCGGGAGCCACTGGTGTGCCCTGCAGAGTGTGTGTGTGTGTGTGAGAATTCAGGGTGCTTTCCTTTAGCTTTTGTGCTCAACATTGAGCCATAGCTTCACTTCCATTTCTTTCTTTCTTTCTTTCTTTCTTTCTTTCTTTCTTTCTTTCTTTCTTTCTTTCTTTCTTTCTTTCTTTCTTTCTTTCTTTCTCCTTCCTTCCTTCATTCCTCCTTCGTTCCTCCTTCCTTTCTTCTTTCCTTCCTCCTTCCTTCCTTTCCTTCCTTCCAGGGACCTTGAAGGGAGGGGAGGGGGGAGGGGAGAGAGGAGAGGAGGGGAGGAGAGAGGAGGGGAAGAGAAAGGAGGGGAGGGAAGGAAAGGGAAGGGGAAGGGAAAGGAGGGAAGGGAAGGGAGGAAAAGGGAGGGGGAAGGGGAAGAAAGGGAAGGGAAGAAAAGAAGGGGAAGGGGGAGGGGAAGGGGGAAGGGAAGGGAGGAGAGAGGGGATGGGAGGGGGAGGGGAAGAGAGGGGAGGAGAAGAGGGGGGAGGGGAGGGAAAGAGAGGGGAGGGGAAGAGGAGGGGGAGGGGAAGGGAGGGGAGGTGTGAGGGGAGGGAGAAAGAGGGAAGGGTGGACAGGGATCTACAGGAATTGTCCTCATAATCTGACCTGTGGAATTAAAACCTTTTTGTGCAACTACTTATTCCGAAGGAACCGGGGACATGGCAGTAAGCACCACGCAACGCATGTGCACCTTCCAATTAAAATGGGGAAAACATAATAAAATGACATTTCTAAAGCCCATTGGATCAGGGCTGGACAGGAGCCCCGTGCGTGGACTCATTAGAAGGCCTCAGCCTTTTTAGCATTAAAATGATACAGTTAATCCCACGGGGGGGGGGGGGGGGGGGGCTCCCGCCTGTCATCCCAGCAGCTCAGGAGGCTGAGATCGGAGGATCGCAGGTCAAAGCCAGCCTGGGCAGGAAAGTCCATGAGACTCTTCTCTCCAATGAACCACCAGAAAACCAGAAGTGGCGCTGTGGCTCAAGGGGTAAAGCGCCAGCCTTGAACAAAAAGCAGCTCAGGGACAGCGCTAGTCCCTGAGTTCAAGCCCCACGACTGACACAACTTTACCAAAAAAGTCTCCTGAGCAAATGCCCCAAAGGCGAAGGAGAAGACCCAACGGTCTCTTCTCCATTGCAGATTCCACCGATTCCCACCAGCGAGGTCATGTTTCTCACCATCCAAGTGAAGGGAGAAACTCACGAATTCAAGAAGCGCAGCACGGTGATGATCAAAAACAAGCAAAGCCTGGTCTTCGTCCAGACCGACAAGCCCATCTACAAACCCGGGCAGACAGGTGAGCACCGCATCCCAGCCCAAGCATCCCAGCCCAAGCAGCTGCCCCACCGCCACCCTGCCCACCAACCAGGCAACGTATTTCTGTTTCAGTGCAATTTCGTGTGGTCTCATTGGATGAAACTTTTCGCCCCCTGGATGAAGTGGTAAGTCCCCTGTGGTCTATATAAACGCATTTGCCTTGGTCTAAAATGGCTGGAAATATATTTGGGGTACTTAAGGGAGGACCAGGGACTGATGGGAATTATCTGCCATGGCTAACAGCACATTCCTGACGTTGAACTAGCACAAGAACTTCATGTAAAACATGACCCCAGGTAGGGTGGGGGATGTCTGTAATCCCAGCTACTTGGGAGGTGGAAATGGGAGGAGAACCAGGGAAAAGTGAGTGTGGAACTTGATCTGAGAAACGGACTAAAAAAAACAACAGGCCAGGGACATGGTTCAAGTGGTAGGGTGATTTTCTAGCAAGTTTGAGGCTTTTGTTCAATAAGAAAGAAGAGAGAGAGAGAGAAAGAGAGAGAGAGAAGGAAAGAAGGAAAGGAAGAAGAAAGAAAGAAAGAAGGGAGGGAGGGAGGGAGGGAGGGAGGGAGGGAAGGAAGGAAGGAAGGAATGAAGGAGAGAGAGAGATAAGGGAGGGAGGGAAGAAGAAAGAAAGAAATTCCCTCAGGTCAGAAGAGGAGGGAATTTGTAATTCTGTCTTGGTCTGAAATCCAGTTAGTTGTCCTGCAAGTTAACCTCCTCCTTGATTTCCAAATCAGCAGATACATTAAATATTAGGCACGGAAAATTATCCACAGATGTAAGGTTAAATGATTTCACAGAGCTTTAAAATTGTTTCTATGCACACTGGCCAAATCCCTGCTGTGAAGGAAGATCGGCTTTTGTTCCTCAAGTCAGACCTTCACTATCTGAGAGAAGACACATGGTTTTATTATACAGCAAACATCAAACTATTTAATACATTTATGCCTATACATTTGACGTACGATGTACATATGGTGTAATGTATATGGGACCATATATATGTGACCAGGATGGTTTCTATATACAATATATGTGTGATGTATGTATTATATGTTATATATATGGATATATATTATATATATTATGGATATGTAGAATGCCTTTTGTAATATATATGATGCTGTATGTGATGTATATCTATCATATCTAATAAGTGTATAGATGTACATTGATCTAGATCTATGTACAAACATGCCAGGTTTGAGAACACTCATGAAATCCATTCTTGTTTTTTGTCTTTCAGATTCGACTGCTATACATTCAGGTAAGCAATAGGTATTCCGTCATTAGAAAGAGAGTAATCATAAGCCGGGAGCCGGTGGCTCACGCCTGTCATCCCGGCTACTCAGGAGGCTGAGATCTGAGGATCATGGTTCAAAGCCAGCCCAGGCAAGAAAGTCCATGAGACTCTGATCTCCAATGAACCACTCAGAAAACCAGAAGTGGGGCTGTGGCTCAAGTGGTAGAGCGCTCACCTTGAACTGAAGAGCTGAGGGACAGCGCCCAGGCCCAGAGTTCAAGCCCCATGACCGACAAAAAAGAGAGAATCATTACAGGAAAAAATGCCCTCATTTGAAAAGCTCTTATAAGAATTAATAGAAAATTCTTCTAAGAGCCCATGGGGCTGGGTGGTGATAACTCACATTTCATTTCCCTCTTCACCCATTCTTGTTCTGTGGGTAGCATAGGTGCTCTGGAGGGTTACTGTCTGTGGCTTCTAAGGCTCTAGATCTCTTCAGTTATTGTATCTCTTAGTGTCAATGTATTCCTTTATCTATTGTAATTAATTTAGCCCTAGATTCTAGGTCCCTTTAGCTATTGTAATTAATTTATAGCTGGGTCTCTGTTGTAATTGATTGGTCTTTAAACTATGGTAATTAATCTAGCCCTAGACTCTAGGTCCCTTTATCTATTCTAATTAATTTAGCTGTGAACTCTATCCTTTATCTCTTATCATTAATTTACAGCTGGGTCCCTTTATCTATTGTAATTAATTTAGCCCTCGACTCTAAGCCCCTTTAGCTATTGTAATTAATTCAGCCCTAAGACTTTAGATCCCTTTATCTATTGGAACTAATTTACATCTAGATCCCTTTATCTATTGTAATTACTTGATCCCTTTATCTGTTGGGATTAATTTAGCCCTAGACTCTAGGTTCTCTCTAGCATAATTAATTTACCTGCAAGTCCCTTTATCAACTGTAATTAATTTAATCTATGGACTTTAGATCCCTTTCTCTATTGTAATTAATTTACCCAGGGACTCCACCCTTTATTGTTATTTACAGCTGGGTTCCTTTGGCTATTGTAACTAATTGGTCCCTTTCTCTAATGTGATTAATTAGTGCCGTTATCTGTCATAATTAATTTACATCCGGGTGCCTTTATCTACTACAATTCATTTATCCACAGGATCCCAAAGGGAACCGCTTGGGGCAGTGGCAGAACCTCCAGCTGGACACGGGACTCCAGCAGCTGACCTTCCCCCTGGCCTCCGAGCCCCCACTGGGCTCCTACAGCATCACCGTGCAAATGGAGTCGGGGGTCACCGTCAGGCACCAATTCACCGTGGAGGAATTTGGTAAGGACCCTGGAAGAGCGTGGAGTAAGCAACCAGGGCTTGGGCTAGCAAATGCTTCAACTGTGACAGGTCTGTGTCATTAAAAAGCTCAGCTCCGTGCTCACACCTGTAATCCCAGCTACTCAGGAGGCTGAAGGCTGAGGTTCACAGTTCAAAGCCAGCCTGGACAGGTAAGACCAGGAGACTCTTTTATCTCCAAGGAACCAGCAGAAAACAGGAAGTGGTGCTGTGGCTCAAGGGGTAGAGCACCAGCCTTGAGTGAAAGAGCTCAGGGACAGCGCCCAGGCCCTGAGTTCAAGTCCCATGACCTCCAATTCAAAAAGAAGAGAAATCTAGTAGGGCTTGGAATGTGAGTTTATCTGGAACCTTCCCAACAATTAAGAATGGATTTGTAATAGAAGTCATTATATCTAAACCCAATGAGGATATCAGTGGTTTGTGAATAATCTTTCATATGGCTTAGAGGTTGTGTATGTGTGTGTGTGTGTCTTGGAGCTTGAACTCAGGGCTTAGGCACTGTCCCTGAGCATTTTTGTTCAAGGCTAGCCCTCTACCACTTGAGCCACAGCTCCACTTCGTGCCCTTTTGGTCATTCACTGAAGAATCTTACAAACACTCACATATGGAATGTTGTTATAGTAGTACTAGAAATTTAACATACCTTTATTGAGATAAGGATAACACCAAAAATGTACAAATGCATCAAAAGTAAAGATTGACCATATATACGAAAACCAGTTAAACATAGAAATGAAAAATTATTATTTTAAATATGGATACACAGTGGAAAACAAATGTCAAAATGTTGTGTTTAAAGAGAAATAATGGCAAGTAATACATGCTTATCTATGAATAATAACCCATATCTCAAATGCCTTTATGAACTCCAACTTATTGTGGAATGTTCTAGGCTTGTCTTACACGTAGAACCTAGCATATTATATGAACATGTAGAATTAAACATTTGTTTTATGTAACAGTGTATTATTACAATAAAATAAAATGTCAATAATCAATAAAGCTCACAACCACTGGAAATACACTTTGATAAGGACCAAAAAAAAAGAATCTTTCAGACTTTCCTGCATGGGTTGGGTTTTTTTTGTTTTTGTTTTTTTGCCAGTCCTGGGCCTTGAACTCAGGGCCTGGGCGCTGTCCCTGAGCCTCTCTGTACTCAAGGCTAGCACTCTACCACTTGAGCCACAGCACCATTTCCAGCTTTTTCTGTTGATGTGGTACTGAGGAATTGAACCTTGAGTGGGTTGTGAACCAAGATCCTCAGATCTCAGCCTCCTGAGTAGCTGGGATTCCAGGTATGAGCTACCCTAGTGTTAATGGAGTCTTTCCAAATGAACTCATCCATTGCCTCCATTTTAGAGTAAGGGAGATACAAATGCCCTTCCAAGCCCCAAAGCCCATTAGACAACTATAAACAGAGAACCTAAAAAGATGAATACCTTCTCCCTCCCCTAAGCTGCAACTCTAACTTTCTCTGTCCCTATCAACAGTGCTCCCCAAGTTTGAAGTGCAAGTAACAATGCCAAAGGTTATCACCATCATGGAACAAGAACTGAACGTCTCCGTGTGTGGCTTGTGAGCTGAGTTTTTTTTTCTCTCTCTTTTTCTTTTTAATATGTTGAAGGGAGTTATTGAAAGGAGACTGGCTTTTGTAGATCTTGTGGCTAATTTCTCTAGGACCAATGGCAACGCAAAACATGTCTGCTGTTTTGGAGACTTTCCTGACTAGGAAATACTTATTCTGCTGCTTTTCTATTTCCCCTTCTCATTTGCTTTCCGTGTCATAATGCACATTGCTGTAATTATGTTTAAAGAGAGTCTATACACACACACACACACACACACACACACACACACACACACACACAGAGGACTAGTAGCTTTCCCTTAAGCAGATGATAACAAAAGACCCTGGTCAAAGCACATTGTACTCTCAAACTAATTATATAGTGTTGAAAGCCCTTCTACTTAAAGGAAAAAATTAATTTTTTGAATTCTTGAACTCTGGGCCTGGGTGCTGTCCCCTGAGCTCTTTTGCTCAAGGCGGGCGCTCTACCACTTGAACCACAGAGCCACTTCTGGTTTTCTGGTGGTTCCTTAGAGATAAAGAGTCACCCAGACTTTCCTGCCTGGGCTGGCTTTGAACTGTGATCCTCAGATCTCAGCCTCCTGAGTAGCTGGGATGACAGGCGTGAGCCACCAGCACAGGGCTGAAAAATTTATTATTTTAAAGATGATAATAAACTGCTTGCTAACTAGGGAGATCATTGATCCCTGGTTATAGGAGAAAGCCAATCATCGATCGATCACTTATTAAACCTTGGAAGAGTATTGTATGGGGAAGCAAAAAAAGAATTTAGATTCGGGGTTTGTAGCGAGACCACACAAGCAAAATCTCACAGAATCCATGAGTCTAGCTCAGGATGACACACCGCTCTCTGGCTGCTGTTTACTGGGGAAGCGAACTGAATCTCTCAGGGTGATCTCCTCCTTGTAAAAAGAGCAAAAGATCAGATCTGCACGAAGGCCACACATGCAATGCACCTGCTACTTACTCAGCTGCGCCCCTCCCCCAGTGCTGCTCCAGAACATTCCCCTCCAAGTTCTCACTCTCCCCCCACCCCTTCTCCACGCCTCAGGAGCCAACAAATACAAGACAAGCGTTCATATCAATAGTTGGGATTCCTAGATTGCTTCTGAGAGTCGTTTTGCTTTTCTATTTGCTTGGTTCTTTTGTTTCTGATGGTATTGCTTTTCTTTTTTAAGATATATGTATATTCTATTATTATTGTAAAAGGAATGGGTATTGATTTTCTCTTAAGAAGGTATCTAGTGTTTGTAACACTCCCCACACACACACGCACACACCAAAAAAAAAAGGCTTCATCAAAATGATATTAAATTGAAAAATCAAGCCAAGCACTATGGTCCATACCTACAGCCCCAGGAGGCAAAAAAAAAAAAAAATAGAAGGCTTGTGGTTCAGAGCTAGCCCTGGCAAGACGTGAACGGGACGCCTTTGAGACACGTGAAGAGGCATGAGTATCAGGATTAAGGCCCCCAGCTCTGGGACCTTAGGTAAAAAGCATGAGACTCTCCCTGGAAAAATTTAAAAAGCAAAAACATAAAAAGGGCCAGGAATATGGCTCAAGTGGAAGAGTCCCTGCCTAGCAAGTGTAAGGTCCTGACTTTAAATGGAAGTACTGCAAAGGAAGGAAGGAAGGAGGGAAGGAAGGAAGGAAGGAGGGGAGGGAGGGAGGAAAGGAAGGAAGGAAGGAAGGCAGGGAGGGAGGGAGGGAGGGAGGAAGGAAGGGGGGAAGGAAGGGGGGAAGGAGGAAGGGAGGAAGGGAGGGAGGGAGAGAGGGAGGGAAGGAAGGAAAGAGGGAGGGAAAGAGGGAGGAAAGGAAGGAAAATGATGGAGGGAGGAAGGAAGGGAGGGAGGGAGAGAGAAGGAAAGAAGAGAAAGGGAGGGAGGGAAAGAGGGAGATAAAGAGGGAGGAAAGGAAGGAAAAGGAGAGAGGGAAGGAAGAAAGAAAGGTGGGAAGGAGGGAAGGAAGGAAGGGAGGGAAGGAAGGAAGGAAGGAAGGGAGCAAGGGAGGAAGGGAGGAAGGAAGGGAAGTCCCGTGGTGACTCCTCCCCCTCCCTGCAGGTACACCTTCGGCAAGCCAGTCCCTGGCCTCGGGACGCTGCAGGTCTGCAGGGAATACTTGGAACCCTCTTCGTGCCATGGCAGGGAGTCGGAAGCCTTCTGCGAGACATTCAGTCATCAGGTGAGTGGGACAGAACAGAGGGGACCCCCACTCCCAGACTCGGGAAAGATAACCCGTGTGCAACGCCTGAGTCATCACAGCAGAATAGCATTAAAGTGAAGGAAGGGACAGTGAACCAACAGGGCTCTACCTCGTGGAACCAAGGGCAAATATTCCACAGAGAACCCGGTGCTGCCTGTTATAACCTGTATAATATATACACATATACATAGATATGTACTATTATAATCTATATCTACACATATATCTATTATATATATGTACCATCAATGACTGAGCACAATAGTAATTCTTTATTTCTTTGTCCTGGCTCAAAAGAACTGTGGTAGACGCTGACAGAGATCGAACCATCCAGTGCTTCCTGTGGTTTCTCCTTTTATGAAAAAAAGACATACATGTTTGGGGTTGTTTTGTTTTTTGTTTTTTGCCAGTCCTGGGCTTGAACTCAGAGACTGGGCGCTGTCCCTGAGCTTCTTTGGCTCAAGGCTGGCGCTCTACCACTTGAGCCACAGTGTCACTTCCAGCTTTTTCTGTGTATGTGGTACTGAGGAGTTGAACCAGGGCTTTGTGCATGCTAGGCAAGCGCTCTACCACTAAGCCACCTTCCCAGCCCCCAACATATACAGATACACATATACATACACATACACATATACATATCAACTTCATAGGAAAATGTCTTTCCACTTTCTTTGAGTAGGAGCCTGTCACATTGCTCTAACTGCCTGTCTGCTACACATTGGCTGGTTCACAACCACACCTGTCCACTTGGAGGAGACCCAAAATTAGAGGAGCAGTAGCTGCCTGTCTAGATAAAGGTTAACCCTCAAACTTCTAAGGCATTTATTTTTGGTATCATTCTATCTAGGAAACTTCAGCTAGCAAGGCAACTCCTGCCCATGATACACAAGTTACTACTATTATTATCATATGATAATACATCCTCATTGTATACACAAGTCATGGTGGATAGTTAGCACCTCCACCAAATGCAGTGCCTCGTCCCAGAAAATGCTTACATTGCTGGACACCAGTGGTTCACCCCTCTAATCCTACCTGAGATCTAAGGATCAAGGTTCAAAGCTAGCCTAGGCAGCCAAGTCTGTGAGACTCTTGTGTCCAATTAAGCAGCCAAAATAGCCAGAAGTGGAGCTGTGGCTCAAGTGGTAGAGTGCCAGTCTTAAGCAAAATGGCTCAAGAATAGAATCTGGGCCCTAAGGAGGTGGGGGAAGAGGAGGGGGGATAGAGGGGGAGAGAAAGGGAGGGAAGAGAAAGAGGGAGGAGAGGGGAGGGAGGGGAGGGAGAGGGGAAGGGCTAGCATTATCTGTCCAAAGAAGTCCTCCCAGACTGACTGACCTGCCCAGTGTGACCATCTAGCACGCATTATGGTTTGGTATTGCTTTTTTCTCTCTTCTAAAGCTAAACAGCAATGGCTGCTTCACCCAGCTGGTGAAAACCAAAGCCTTCCAGCTAAGGAGACAAGAGTACGAAATGAAACTGGAAGCCGAGGCCAAGATCCAAGAAGAAGGCACAGGTCTGAGGGCCACGTGGGGACGGGAGATTAAGATGGTGGGCGCTGGCGGATTTCCCCAGCCCAGGTAACACTTGCAAATGTGGAGGAATCAGGAACATCGCCACTGCAGACACTGCGGGCTCTCGCGTATAATCCCAGCCGCTCCCAGGCTGAGAATGCTAGTTCAAAGCCAGCCTAGACAGGAAGAATCCATGAGACATTACCTCCCATGAACCAGCCAAAAGCTGGAAGTGAAGCTGTGGCTGAAGGGTAGAATGGCAGCCTTGAGCAAGAATGGCCAAGCAAGAATGCAAGGACCTAAGTTCAAGCCCCAGTACTAGCATAAAAACATACATAAAATATAATATATCACTATCATACATTATTATAAACAGACAGTATATGTATATATGATTCAAGTTATACTATATTTTATATAGTACAAAATAATTATATATAATTCAACACTATATAATACTTACATAATGTTTAAAATGTTATATATAAGATATGACTATAATAGTTAAATATAACATAACAATATATAACTACATATAAAACCATAATATATAACTATATGCCTATATATAATCATTATATAACTATAATAATACATAATTCCATATAATCATATATATTCTAATATTTACATATTATATTTTATATATAATAAAATATATATCACATAATTAAATATATTAAGTACATATTCAAGTATATAATAAATATATTGTATAATTAATGTATTATAACTATATATAATATAGCATATTATATATATAATGTATATAATTATATTACACATAAATGTGTAATATATGTAATATGTACTATTTCATAGTAATATATGTGTAATATACAATGTATATAATTATATTACAAGCAATATAGTTATATATGTGTATATTATATAAATTATACATATTTATATAGAAATATATATTTGTATATAATATGTTATATATAAAATATACAAATGTATAATATATATTAGATAACTACATTAATTGTAAAATACAATATAAAATATACATTATATGAAAAGTCTCATATGTAATACTTTGTAATTATAAAAATATAATGTATAATTCTATATAAATGTTTATATAATATATAGTATACAGTATGTACAAAAAGGATGTAATAACAAATTGCATTAACTGCGTCTCCAGTAACAATAAGTACACATAAGTAAGATATAGTATCCATGCAGTTCAAGTGACTCTGTTTTTTTAATGGCCTATTTCTTTGTTGTTTTCAGGCGTGGAATTAAAGGGCAAAGCATCGAGCTCGATCACAAGAACCATCACCAAACTCTCCTTTGTCAGAGCAGACTCACACTTCAGACCCGGGATCCCCTTCTTTGCGCAGGTGTGGTTAGCAAGTCACGTGACGCACGGGGTCTGGGCAGGTCCAATCACTGGATGGGTCCCGTCCAGTGTCGGTTCATAGATCCAAAAGTTGAAAGCCACCTAATAATAGATCAGGACATTTTACATTTGTATAGGAAATGGTTCCACGCTTTAAACTATTAAATACGCTGTTACCCTAGGATTTCTTCCATAAACCTTATGTGTATAGTACTTTTCTATAATAACTATATATGTGTGTGTTTAGGGTTTTTTAAACTGCCATTATTGGGACTTAAACTCAAGGCCTTACCCTCTTAGTTAGCTTTTTTGCTCAAAGCTGGCACTCTACCACTTGAGCCACACCTCCATTTGTGGCTTTTTGCTGGTTAATTGGAGATGAGAGTTTCATAGAATTGTCTGCCCTGGCTAGCTTCGAACCTTGGTCCTCAGATCTCAGCCTTCTGAGTAGCTCAGATTACAGATGTGAGCCAGCAGCCCCCGCTCAATAAGTATACAGTAAAAGAAAAACAGTAAACACAGAGACAAAATACTATTTAGAAGTTCCCAGATCTCAAAATCATGAATGTTCTCACCGATCTACTAAAACCAATCTTTTACCGTGATTGGTATATTCTCAGAAAACGCCTGTAATCCCAGCTACTCAGGAGGCTGAGATCTGAGAATCATGCGAGAACCAGCCCAATCAGGAAAGTCCTTAAGACTCTTATCTCCAATTAACTAAAAAAAGTCAGAAGTGGAGCTTGTGGCTCAAGTGGTAAAGCACCAGCCTTGAGCACAAAAGTTCAGGGACAGCACCCAGGCCCTGGGTACAAGCCACTAGGACCTGCATCCAAAAAAAAAAAAAAAAAAGAGGAAGAAAGCAAGGAGAAAAGAAATGACTTATGTCACCAGTGATAGATACATCAATTGCCAATATCTGATCATTACATCTGATCATTACTCTACAAATATACACAATCTACAATGTCAATTTAAAATAAAGCTAGTTTGCTGGGCACCCATGGCTCATACCTTTCATCCTAGCTTCCCAGGAGGCTCAGATATGAGGATCCCAGTTCGAAGCCAGCCTGGGCAGAAACATCTAATAGGCTCTTTTATTTCTGATTGACTAGCAAAAAAGCCAGAAGTCGAGGTGTGGCTCAAGTTGTAGAGCACCCAGCTCTGAGCAGAAAAAGCTAAGCAAGAAAGGGGGTTCAAGCCCAACTACCAACTCCCCCCCTAAAAAAGAAAATCAGTGTTTGAGGATCAAATACTTTGGGGTCATGGGTTAATATCCTCCATGACTGTGTTACTCTGTGGGGCCATAGTTTTCCAAGGGTGATCTTTCACACACAGTGTCCTCAAAATGTCCAGGTGTGGCTCCGATCATCTTGAATAAAATGCTGGCCTTTCTTCCTGGGATTTATGATACAAGGATCTCTGTGCTTTCTATCTAGGGTCTCAGCACCGAGCTGAGCGCTGAATGATGCTCACTGCTGCCTCTCCAGAGCCTGGCGCTTTGGAGGCGTCTGATGGAGGGGTGAAGGAATGAAGGAGTTTGGGGCCGACCAGCTAGTGTTTCTGGGACTGATCCGTGGCCTTGAACTTGCAGGTGCGCTTAACGGACGGCAAAGGGGTCCCCATGCCCAACAAGATCGTCTTCATCACTGCGAATGAAGCCAAGCACCAGTCCAACGCCACCACGGACGAGCAGGGCCTGGTTCAGTTCTCCATCAACACCACGGGCATGACGGGAAAGTCCCTCACTGTATCGGTAAGCTCTCCATCAACACCACAGGCATGATGGGAAAATCCCTCACTATAACAAGCTCTCCATCAATACCACGAGCATGATGGGAAAGTCCCTCACTGTAACAGTAAGCTCTCCATCAATACCACGAGCATGATGGGAAATTCCCTCACTGTAACGGTAAGCTCTCCGTCAACACACGGGCATGATGGGAAATTCCCTCACTGTAATGGTAAGCTCTCCATCAACACACGGGCATGATGGGAAATTCCCTCACTGTAATGGTAAGCTCTCCATCAACACACGGGCATGATGGGAAATTCCCTCACTGTAATGGTAAGCGCTCCATCGATACCACGAGCATGATGGGAAATTCCCTTACTGTTCTCCACTGACATCAGGAGAATTATGGGAAATTCTCTTACTGTTACCCCAAGTTTGGAAAGAAATAGGCTTGAAGATTTCTTACCTAAGTTGCACTCTGAAAGATATGAAATTTACAACTTGTGTTGAGCTCCATATAGAGAAGAAAATAGAAATTAGGACCAATTTGTGGGCTAATACGTTTATTAAAAGGAAGTAATTCATTGTTGTGATTAAAATCCTGTTTCAGCCGGCTGCTAGTGGCTCATTCCTGTTATCCTAGCCACTCAGGAGGCTGAAATGGGAGGATCATGGCTCAAAGCCAGCCCCGGAAGAAAAGTCTGGGAGAGTCTTATCTCCACTTAAGCAGCAAAAAGCCAGAAGTGGAGCTCTGGCTCAAATGGTAGGGCACCAGCCTTGAGCAAAAAGCCAAATGAGAGTATCACAATTGAAAGCTAGCCTGAACAGTAAAGTTTGTCAGACTCTTATCTCCAATTAACCAGCAAAAAAACATGGGGAAAGTGGAGGTGTGGCTCAAGTGCTAGAGCACCAGCCTGGAGTGAAAAACCTCAGACAGTGCCCAGGCCCAGAGTTCAAGCCCCAATACAGGACGAGAGGCGGGGGGGGGGGGGAGGAGGAAAGAGAGGGGGGTGGGAGAAAGAGAGAAAGGGAGAGAGAGAGAGAGAGAGAGAGAGAGAGGGGTGCGGAGAGCACTCTTTTCTAAAGCATGCTTCTCAATTTCTAGACATTACTCTTTCAGGGTGATTTCAGTGTCTTTATCTACATAGGTAAAGCAGCCAAAGAACTTTAGAGCAAACTACTGAGCCAATGAAGGCCTGCTTTTATGTTCTTCAGATACATAAATTCCCAGCCTAGGACAGTGTCCAGGGAAGAGGCAAATCATACCTGCGATTGATAGAGACAGGCCTAATCGGGGTGTCTTCTCCTTTGCTAGCTACTGGTAGAGGGGTAACAGGGAGATCACAGGCCTGCTTTGAAATCTTACAATCTGTAAAGAAATATAACATATCATATAATCTATAAATGTAAATAATAATTATATATAGTATATCATCTGGTCTATGATATATATGCTATGTTATATAAGATATTCCATATTATATATTAAATATAATATACCATATTATGTACATAATATATAATGGTATATTGTATTATATAATGGCAGGTGACATATCATTATGTCATACAGTATACATTATATATTACATACCATATATTGTATATACTTATTATATTAGCATAGTGTATATACTACACTATATGCGGTATACATTTATTATATTATTCTATCATTTATATAGTATATGATATCAGATCATATATACTATCATTTTATTACATATTCATAAATTACATTATCTATTTTACATTATCTATTATATACTATTGTACAGCATATATAATACATACGCTATATACTGTAAATGCATAGTAAACAGTAACATATATAATATATAAATATCTATTCTATAAAATGTGTAATGTATTATATTGTATATGATCTATGGTATATGAGTTATATAGTATGTGATATATAATGATGGATGATGTGTATCTCTAGATGATGGATGATATGTGTGTATAGATGGTGGATGATGTGTGTGTATAGATGATGGATGATGTGTGTGTATAGATGATGGATGATGTGTGAGTATAGATGATGGATGATGTGTGTGTATAGATGATGGATGATGTGTATCTATAGATGATGGATGATGTGTGTATAGATGATGGATGATGTGTGTGTATAGATGATGGATGATGTGTGTGTATAGATGATGGATGATGTGTGTGTATAGATGATGGATGATGTGTGTCTCTAGATGATGGATGATGTGTGTGTATAGATGATGGATGATGTGTGTGTATAGATGATGGATGATGTGTATCTATAGATGATGGATGATGTGTGTGTATAGATGATGGATGATGTGTGTATAGATGAGGGATGATGTGTGTGTATAGATGATGGATGATGTGTGTGTACAGATGATGGATGATGTGTGTGTACAGATGATGGATGATGTGTGTGTACAGATGATGGATGATGTGTGTGTACAGATGATGGATGATGTGTGTGTATAGATGATGGATGATGTGTGTGTATAGATGATGGGTGATGTGTGTGTACAGATGATGGATGATGTGTGTGTACAGATGATGGATGACGTGTGTGTATAGATGATGGATGACGTGTGTGTACAGATGATGGATGATGTGTGTGTACAGATGATGGATGATGTGTGTGTACAGATGATGGATGATGTGTTTCTCTAGATGATGGATGATGTGTGTGTATAGATGATGGATGATGTGTGTATAGATGATGGATGATGTGTGTGTATAGATGGTGGATGATGTGTGTGTATAGATGGTGGATGATGTGTGTGTATAGATGATGGATGATGTGTGTGTACAGATGATGGATGATGTGTGTGTATAGATGATGGATGATGTGTGTATAGATGATGGATGATGTGTGTGTACAGATGATGGATGATGTGTGTGTATAGATGATGGATGATGTGTGTATAGATGATGGATGATGTGTGTGTACAGATGATGGATGATGTGTGTGTACAGATGATGGATGATGTGTGTGTACAGATGATGGATGATGTGTGTCTCTAGATGATGGATGATGTGTGTGTATAGATGATGGATGATGTGTGTATAGATGATGGATGATGTGTGTGTACAGATGATGGATGATGTGTGTGTACAGATGATGGATGATGTATGTGTACAGATGATGGATGATGTGTGTGTACAGATGATGGATGATGTGTGTGTACAGATGATGGATGATGTGTGTGTACAGATGATGGATGATGTTGTGTACAGATGATGGATGATGTGTGTGTACAGATGATGGATGATGTGTGTGTACAGATGATGGATGATGTGTGTGTACAGATGATGGATGATGTGTGTGTATAGATGATGGATGATGTGTGTGTACAGATGATGGGTGATGTGTGTGTACAGATGATGGATGATGTGTGTGTACAGATGATGGATGACGTGTGTGTATAGATGATGGATGACGTGTGTGTATAGATGATGGATGACGTGTGTGTATAGATGATGGATGATGTGTGTGTACAGATGATGGATGATGTGTTTCTCTAGATGATGGATGATGTGTGTGTATAGATGATGGATGATGTGTGTATAGATGATGGATGATGTGTGTGTATAGATGATGGATGATGTGTGTGTATAGATGGTGGATGATGTGTGTGTATAGATGATGGATGATGTGTGTGTACAGATGATGGATGATGTGTGTGTATAGATGATGGATGATGTGTGTATAGATGATGGATGATGTGTGTGTACAGATGATGGATGATGTGTGTGTATAGATGATGGATGATGTGTGTGTATAGATGATGGATTATGTGTGTGTATAGATGATGGATGATGTGTGTGTATAGATGATGGATGATGTGTGTGTATAGATGATGGATGATGTGTGTCTCTAGATGATGGATGATGTGTGTGTATAGATGATGGATGATGTGTGTATAGATGATGGATGATGTGTGAGTATAGATGATGGATGATGTGTGTGTATAGATGATGGATGATGTGTGTGTATAGATGATGGGTGACGTGTGTGTATAGATGAGGGATGATGTGTGTGTATAGATGATGGATGATGTGTGTGTACAGATGGTGGATGATGTGTGAGTACAGATGATGGATGATGTGTGTGTATAGATGATGGATGATGTGTGTGTATAGATGATGGGTGACGTGTGTCTCTAGATGACGCACGGCAGACATCATCTACCCTATGTGTGTGTGTGTCATCTATAGATACATGTGAGTCTCCTCCCCCTAGGTGAAGCACCAAGACCATCGCCCCTGCTACGACGGCTACCGCTGGCTGAGCGCGGAGCACGCCGCCGCGCAGCACACGGCCCGCCCCGTGTTCTCCCGGAGCGAGAGCTACGTGCGCCTGGCGCCGGCGCCGGGCCGGCTGCCCTGCCACCAGGAGCACTACGCGCAGGCGCACTACCTGCTCAGCCGCGCGCTCCTCCCCCAGCTCAGCGAGCTGGTCTTCTACTACCTGGTGAGCGGGGCGGCGGCGGCGGCGGCGGCGCGCGCGTGGCCCAGCGGGACGGCGCGCTGCCCGGCACGCGCGGGGACCCGGGTTCGAGTCCGCGGCGCCACCTCCGGTCCCTTTGCCCCAGGTCATGGCGAAGGGCAGCATCCTGTGGAGCGGGCGGCAGACGCTGGCGGTGGCGCGGGAGGAGGACCGTGAGTGCCGGGGGCGCGGGGGCGCGGAGGAGGACCGTGAGTGCCCGGGAGCGCGGGGGGGCGCGGGAGGAGGACCGTGAGTGCCGGGGGCGCGGGGGGCGCGGGGGGGCGCGGGAGGAGGACCGTGAGTGCCGGGGGCGCGGGGAGGGGCGGGGAGGGGCGGGGAGGGGCGGGGAGGGGCGGGAGGAGAACCGTGAGTGCCGGGGGTGGGGGGGGGGGGGGGGGGGGGGGGGGGGGGCTGGAGGCAGGACCGTGAGTGCACCGCCCCTCCCGCCTCAGCCCGCCCTCCCGCCCTCCCCCCGCCCCTCCCGCCCTCCCGCCTCAGCCCCAGCCCGCCCTCCCGCCCCAGCCCGCCCTCCCGCCCCTCCCGCCTCAGCCCCAGCCCGCCCTCCCGCCTCAGCCCGCCCTCCCCGCCCCTCCCGCCTCAGCCCCAGCCCGCCCTCCCGCCTCAGCCCGCCCTCCCGCCCCTCCCGCCTCAGCCCCAGCCCGCCCTCACCGCCCCAGCCCCAGCCCGCCCTCCCGCCTCAGCCCGCCCTCCCGCCCCTCCCGCCTCAGCCCGCCCTCCCGCCCCCTCCCGCCTCAGCCCGCCCTCCCGCCCCAGCCCGCCCTCCCCGCCCCTCCCGCCTCAGCCCGCCCTCCCGCCCTCCCGCCTCAGCCCGCCCTCCCGCCCCTCCCGCCTCAGCCCCAGCCCGCCCTCCCGCCCCAGCCCCAGCCCGCCCTCCCCGCCTCAGCCCGCCCTCCCGCCCCTCCCGCCTCAGCCCGCCCTCCCGCCCCTCCCGCCTCAGCCCGCCCTCCCGCCCCAGCCCGCCCTCCCGCCCCTCCCGCCTCAGCCCGCCCTCCCGCCCTCCCGCCTCAGCCCGCCCTCCCGCCCTCCCGCAGTGCAGGGCCAGATCTCGGTTTCGCTGCCCCGCGGGCCCCGAGCTGGCGCCCGCCGCGCGCCTCGTGGTCTTCAGCGTCCTGCCCGACGGCGAGACGGTGGGCGACGCGGCCAAGTACGAGATCGAGCCCTGCCTGCCCAACTTGGTGCGGCCCGGGACGGGGGGGGGGACGGGGGGGACGGGGGGGACGGGGGGGGGACGGGGGGACCCGGGGTGACTGGGGGACCCGGGGTGACTGGGGGACCCGGGGTGACCGCCCCCCCCCCCCCGCAGGTGGAGCTGAGCTTCGAGCCCGCGCAGAGCCCCCCCGGCCGCGCGCACGCGCCTGCGCGTGTCCTCCGCGCGCCAGGCCCTGTGCGCCCTGCGCGCCGTGGACCAGAGCGTGCTGCTCCTGAAACCCCAGGCCGAGCTGTCCGCCCCGCACCGTGAGTGCCCCCCAGACAGACAGACAGACAGACACAGATGCAAACAGATAGACACAGACAGAGAGACAGACACAGATACAGACAGACAGACACAGATAGACACAGACAGAGAGACACAGACAGATAGACACAGACCAACAAACACAGATACAGACAGATAGACACATACAGACACAGACAGACACAGAGACAGATAGACACATAGACAGACACAGACAAAAAGACACAGATACAAACAGACAGACAGACACAGATACAGACAGACACAGACAGACACATACAGACAGACACAGACAGACACAGATACAGACAGACAGACAGATAGACACATAGACAGACACAGACAAAAAGACACAGATACAAACAGACAGACAGACAGATACAGACAGACAGACACAGACAGACAGACACAGATACAAGCAGATAGACACACAGATACAGACAGACACATATACAGACAGACAGACAAACACAGATACAGACAGACAGACACAGACAGACAAACACAGATACAGACAGACACAGATACAGATACAGACAGCCAGACACAGACAAGACACAGATATAGACAGACAGACACAGACAGACAGACACAGATACAGATAGACAGACACAGATACAGACACAGACAGACAGACAGACACAGACAGATAGACACAGACCGACAAACACAGATACAGACAGATAGACACATAGGCGTAGATGGCAGGGAGAGAGAGGCAGGCAGGCAGACAGACAGACAGACAGTCAGACAAACATGCACACATAGATGGCAGGGAGAGACAGACAGATACACACACACACAGGTGTAGATGGCAGGGAGAGAGAGGCAGGCAGACAGAGACAGACAGACAGACATAGATGGCAGGGAGAGAGAGACAGACAGACAAAGATACACACATAGATGGCAGGGAGAGAGAGGCAGGCAGGCAGACAGACAGACAGACAGACAGATAGATAGATAGGCAGAGGCAGAGATGGACAGACACAGACAGACAGATGCATACATCCAAACATACATGCGTAGATGGCAGGGAGAGATAGGCACAGACAGACAGACAGACAGACAGACAGACACATAGATAAATGGCAGGCAGAGATACACAAACACATAGATATACAGACACAGATAAATACAGACAGACAAACATACACGCATAGATGGCAGGGATGGAGACAGGCAAACAGACAGACAGACAGACAGAGAAAGAGGTGGATGGATGGATGGATGGATGGATGGATGGATGGATGGATGGATGGATGGATGGATGGATGGATGGCAGGCAGAGGCAGAGATGGACAGACAGATACACACACACACACACACACACACACACACACACACACACGATTGTGCGCGCGTCCCCGGCAGGTGTACGATCTGCTGCCCGTGAAGGATCTCACCGGCTTCCCCAGCGGGCTGGCCCCGCACGGGGAGGACATGGGCGAGTGTGTGGACCGCCAGAACGTGTACATCCACGGGATCCTCTACTCCCCGGTCTCCAACTCAGACGAAAAGGACATGTACATGTTCCTGAAGGTAGGCCCCCCCACACACACACCTCCCTCCCAGAACACACCGAGGCTCACGTCCCGAATCCCAGCTCCTCCAAGGCTGGAGTCCGAGGATCGAAGTTGGAGGCCAGGAAAAATTTATATATACTTATGTGTAATTGTTATATTATCTATTATGCAAGTTATACATATATGTCGTATAAGAGTATGTAACATATAACATGTATATGGGTAAATGTTGGCAGGTATTTACATATCTCTAGGTATGTATATGTTTAGAGATCTATACTTATATTCGTGCGTAACTTTTACAGTTGTATTATACAGTATGCAGCTTCTTATATAAATATATGTTGCGTGACATAATATATAATATGTATATTTATAGATAAATGTATGTGTATATAGGCAGATATTTATCTCTCTATATAGATTTGTATATGTTTATAAATATATACTTATGTGTATTTATAGGTAGATTATGTGTATTTATAGATAGATATATACATAAGTAGAAATAGATACATATATCTAGAGAGATACACAGGTAGACAGATATTAACTTGGATATAAATATGTTTATATAATTATATGTATACATAGAGATGTAGACACATAGATAGATGTATTTCTATATCTATATATATTTCACAGGTGGAAAGGTTATTAGTGGCTTCTTATGAAGATTGGAGTTGATGAATTTCACGCGGGCAGTAACTAGTAGAGCTACCCAAGAAATCAGGGCTGGGAAATGTTCAGCCTCCTGGGTGATCTATACTGATCCCGCTTACAGAAAATAATACAGAAAGAGTGTCATCCCAGCCACTCAGGAGGCTGAGATCTGAGGATCATGGTTCAAAGCCAGCCCGGGCAGGAAAGTCTGCGAGACTCTGATCTCCACTGAACCACCAAAAAGCCATCCATGGGGGCTGTGGCTTACGTGGTAGAGAGAAGGAAAACAAAGCACCCAGGCCTTGAGTTCAAGGTGCACGCACACACACACACACACACACACACACACACACACACACACACACACACACACACGTTTCATATTAAGCAAAGCAGACTGTTTCTTCAGCTTGTGCACACACGTTTTAGCATGCAAAGTTCATTCATGAGCTGTTCAATTTCCTTTGTAGGACATGGGCTTAAAGGTGTTCACCAACTCCAAGATACATAAACCCAAAGTGTGCGCCCAGCCTCCACAGTACGAAGTGCAATATTCAAGATATGCAGGTAAAAAAATTAATTATTGCCTAAAACACTCCGATCAAATAATTTTAAAGATAAAGTATGACGTAAAAACATTCGGCGGGTGCTGTGGCTCCCACCTGCCATCCCAGCCACTCAGGAGGCTGAGATCTGAGGATCGCAGTTCAGAGCCAGCCAGGCAGGAAAGTCCGGGAGACTCTGATCTCCAATAAACCGCTCGAAAACTGGAAGTGGTGCTGTGGCTCAAGGGGTAGAGCGCCAGCCTTGAGCAAAATGAGACCCCCCCCCCCAAGTCCTGAGTTCGAGTCCTATTTCTGGCCCCAAAACTATTCTTGAAAATCATTTATGAGGAATCTGATTCGACCAAATACAAAACAGAAACAGAAACCCTGCACCTTGAAAGCGCTCGCGTGGCTAGGTGCCGTGGCCCACGCCTGCCATCCCAGCTGCTCACGAGGAGGCTGAGATCTGAGGATCAGGGTTCAAAGCCCGGGCAGCAAACCCAAGAAATCCTCACCTCCCATTAGCCAGCCAACACGAAGAGCAAATAAAAGCCAGAGGTGTGGCTCACGTGGCAGAGTGCCAGCTTTGAGCGAAAAAACAGGAGTGGGGGCCAGAGTTCCCGTCACACACGCACACACACACACACGCACACACACACACACACACACACACACACACACAGTGCGTGTGTCATACCATGCCTGCCACACTCTCCGCTGGCTTTCCTTGGCTCCATTGACAAACACAGCGCTGGACACCACAGACCCCGCCCCGCACCCAGCCACGCCACCAACCCACGCCATTCCACCCGCCACACACGCCATTCCACCTGCCACACGCCATTCCACCCGCCACACGCCATTCCACCCGCCACGCCATTCCACCCGCCACACGCGCCCAGTCCAACTCCAAGCCAACGGCGCCTTCCCCCTCCCCCTCCCTCCCTCTTTCTCTCCCCCTCCCTTCCTCCCTCCCTCCTTCCTCTCCCTCCCTCCTTCCCTTTCTTCCCTTCCTCCATCCCTCCCTCCATTTCCCTCCCTCCCTCCCTCCGTCCCTCCCTCTTCCCTTCCTCCCTCCTTCTCTCCCTCCTTCCCTCCCTTCCTCCCTCCATTTCTCCCTTCTTCCCTCCCTCCCTCCTCTCCCTCTCCCTCCTTCCTTCCCTCCTTCTCTCCTTCCCTCCTCTCCCTCCCTCCCTTCCTCCCTTCCTTCCCTTTCATCCCTCCCTCTTTCCTTCCTTCCTCCTTCCCTCCCTTCCTCCATCTTTTCCTTCTTCCTCTCTTCCTTCCCTCTGTCCTTCCTTCCTCCATCCCTTCTTTCTTCCTCCCTTCCTCCTCTCATCCCTCCCTTCCCTCCCCCTCCCTCCTTTCCTCCCTCCTTTCCACCCTCCCTCCCTCCCTTCCTTCCATTTTTCTCTCCTTTCTTCCCCTTTTTGCTTCCTTCCTTCCTTTCTTTCCTTCCCTTCTTCCTGCCTTCCTTTCTCCCTTCCTTTCTTTCCTCCTTCCTCTATTCCTTCGCGCTGGAGCTGGGCTTCGACCTGCTGCGCGTCCCTCTCGCTTTGCTTTTGGCTCCGGGCTGGCGCCCTGCCACGTGAGCCGCAGCTCCACTTCCAGCTTTTTGCTGCTTCCCCGGAGATCTGAGTCTCACGGACGTGCCTGCCCAGGCTGGCCTCGAACCCCGGTCCTCAGCTCTCAGCCTCCCGAGCGGCTGGGATGCCAGGCGTGCGCACGCGGGCGGCCCACGGGCATCCTGCCCCCCCAGCCCCCCCCCCCCCCCCCCGTGCACACGCTGAGCGAGCTGTCTCCACAGAGCCCGTGGGCCTCATGTACCCCGGCGCGCACGAGCGCTCCATGCAGGTGGGCAGTATGCAGGTGGACAGGGCCAGCAGGCCCGCCGCGCCCCCCACGCCCGTGCGCAAGTACTTCCCCGACACGTGGATCTGGGAGCTGCAGCGGCTGGAGTGAGTGCTCCCCACGGCTGGCCACCCGCACCCTCCCCCTCCCCCTCCTCCCCTGCCCTCCCTCCCCCCTCCCCCTCCTCCCCTCCTCCCCTCCCCTCCTCCCCCTCCCCTCCTCCTCCCCCTACACTCCTCCCCTCCTCCTCCCCCCTCCTCCCCTCCCCCTCCTCCCCTCCCCCTCCTCCCCTCCCCCTCCTCCCCTCCCCCTCCTCCCCCTACCCTCCCCCTCCTCCCCTGCCCTCCTCCTCCCCTTGCCCTCCCCCTCCCCTCCCCCTCCTCCCCCTGCCCTCCTCCTCCTACCCTCCTCCCTCCTCCTCCTCCCTCCTCCTCCCCCTCTCCCTCCCTCCTCCTCTCTTCCCCCTCCTCCTCCCCTCTTCCCCTTTCTTCCCCTCCTTCCACTCCTCCTCCCCCCTGCTTTTCTTCTTCCTCCTCCCCCTCCCCCTCCTCCTCCTCCTCCTCATGTCCTCTTCCTTCTGTTTTTGTCTC